TTTTGAACATATTAATAAGAAAAGTGCAATTTTTATATGAAATGGATAGTGTATATTCAAATAAAAATTAATCTACCTTACTAAATCAATGACAATAGAAAAGTCTTAATCTAAACTAATTTAATACATATCAATCTACCTTGCCAAATTAGTTTCTTGAATTTATATTAAAAAATCAAAATAAAAGTAATTAGAATTCAGTTTTTCGGTCGGTTTTTTTGATGTATGGGCGGTTTTCGGTTTCGGTTCGGTCGGTTTTAATTTATAGTCGGTTCGGTTCGGTCGGTTTTTAATCATGTTAAAAAAAAGTCGGTTTTTTCGGTTTCAAACCGAAACCGATCGAAACCGACCGTTGCTCAGCCCTAACAGGAGCAAATGTTTCTTTGTAGTCAAGCCCTTCAACTTGATGATTACCAAGGACCACAAGCCTGGCCTTATATCTCTCCACACTGCCATCAGATTTGCGTTTGATCTTATACACCCATTTGCATCCAAGAGGCTTTTTATAATGAGGGGGATGGACAAGAGTCCAAGTGCCATTTGCTTCTAGGGCATCAATTTCTTCTCGCATAGCCTTCCTCCATCGCTCATCCTGGAATGCCTGCTTGTAACCCTTGGGCTCCACTTCTGCATCAAGAGCTGTGAGAAAACATTTATGTTTCTAAGAAAACTTCTCATATGTGACATACGACGAGAGAGGATATTTGCATTTCTCCCCGACATATGGTCCAACCACATGGGTAACATAATCGGCAAGGCGTACATTTGGACGTTTCTCACGCTGACCACGTCCCAAGTTCTCCACCGCTGGCTGGGAAGGGGACGGTCGACCGCCGTCCGTGGAACGGTCCACGGGGTCGACCGTCTGAAGCTGTTCCGGATTGCTAATTTTCTGCCTCGGAGACGGTCGGCCGTCTTCCTCATCACGGTCGACCGTTTGATCATCTCCCAAAGAACCATCATTCTGCCTCTCGGACGGTCGACCGTGTTGAAACATGGGCATGTCACGTTTTCGTACTAAAGCCGTGTTTGTTTTTATGACAGGTTTTGATAATGCCAAACCGTCGTGATCAAGTCAAACTTTGAATATACAAGGCGAAGAACGAAGACAAGAACAAGAGCTAAAAGAAGACCAAGAACGAAGACCTTAGTCTTAGTGTCGTGAGTCGGTCTTCATTGTGATCAAGACCGACCCAATCTTTACACCTTGGCTCTTTAGGCTAAAAACCTTCATTGCACTTCTTAAATCATAAAAATGTTTTTCAAACATGTTTAAGTCATTAAAAACACTTGGTGTTCGCCCAAACCAAAAACCAAGACATCCGGCGTTCGGGTTTCAGAAACCAGCGTTCGGCTCTCGGTTATCGGCTATGGTTTTTGGCGTCCGAACCAACCAAGTGCTTTTCAACTTTTTATGATTGGTTTTTACTCTTTGGCATGTTTAAACGGTTCTCCAACAAAAACACCTTGAAAACCATCTTTCGCTTTTGGTCATTTGACAAAAATCATTCAAAACGGCATAAACTTGGCTAGCCGTGGTTTTCACTCAAATGACGTGGTTCTTAAAGTGTCTTACTTGATTTCTTAGCCAAATACATCAAATAAGGATTTTAAACACTTGGTTTTTATTTTGGAGAACTTTGAATTTTTCGGTCGGGTTTCGCATCGGTTGGCTAGGCCGTGGTTAAGGCAAAAACCATGGGTTCTTGACTAACCACCCACCCAGCGATGGGAAGATCTTCCCATCGATGGGTAAGCGGCCCCTCAGCCAAACCAGTTTCCAGAACCATGCCAAACAGCGATGGGGAGTTCCACCCATCGCTGTTAAAGCCTTGGTGCAATATTAACACAAGGCAGAACGACCTTGCCCAGCGATGGGAAACCTATCCCATCGATGGGAACCCAGCGATGGTAAGGGTATACCATCGATGGGAAGGCATGACCGTTGGTGGTCATTAAAGGTTGATTCTTTCCTTGTTTGGAAGTCAACCTCCCACCCAGCGATGGGAAGCTTGTACCCATCGATGGGTAGGCGACCGTTGACTTCAAAACTGAAGGAAAATTGGCTTACCAGCGATGGTTGAGTCTAAACATCGATGGGAAGCCAATATTCTGCAGATCCCAAATTTTTCAATCCCATAAATCAAGCTAATCACCCCTTTAATGCATTGGTCCGTTGGAGCCTTCTTTGGCACTATAAAAAGGGGTGTTTGGGTCTGCTTTTCTCACCAATTCACTTCACAACATATATACTTTCATTGCATCCAAATATCATCATTTTCCATAGCTTTCTAAGAGCCATTTGTGTGTGAAGGTTGAGTTGTTCTTGAGCGTACTTAGTTTACTCATAATCTACTCTACAAGAGAGTCTCGTTCTTGAGTGTACTTGTGTTCTTAGACACGTTGAGAGAAAGTATTTCTCTTGTTGATTCAAAGGAAGGTCTGTTTCCTTTGAAGGATTCGTTGAGGTTCGTGTGACTCGAACTCTCAAGTTGTAACGGTTTGTTAAGCACCCGCAAGCTTAACGAGATAGTAGTGTAACTCGAGAGAGTCTCTCGGGAGGCTGGATTAGCCACAAGTTGTGGTGAACCAGGGTAAAATTCGGTGTGCCTTTTTACTCTTCTCTTTACTTCTCTTTTAATTTCTTAATTTCCTGCGATTTCTCCGATCAAACGCTATTCACCCCCCCTCTAGCGTTGGTCACTTATTCTAACAAAATAGTTAATTCATATATTAGAATAACCATTCATATGATAATGTAATAATATTTTTTATTTTATGATAATTTTTTTGTAAAATTAGAATTACACATTATAATAAATATTTAATTTAGATATACATTAAAAAGTAATTAAATTTAGATAATCAATATATAGAAGAGATAGTATTTTTATTAAAATATCTCATCCTTATAAAAGATCAAAAGTTTAGAAACTCAAATTACAAGTAGCAATAAAAATATATTTTAAAAGTATATTAGATTGACATTGTCAATGTATTTTAAAAC